TTGATAATTACACATTGGAGTAATATTGATGATTATATCATGACACTGATTAATATTTTAAGTAAAACATCAAAGTTTAAACATTCAAATGGTAGTCAACAGAACATGGATAATAAGATGAACATTGGATTTCTCTAACCAAAATTGTTGAAATTAAGATAAAAAAATGTGCAGAGCGCACAATGTACATTCAGCAAGATTGTGCTTGCTCCAACTCATCTTCTTTCCTTATCAGTACAAATCTGATTAACTCTAAAATTCAATAAAAAATTATAACTTGTTAACTCAAATTTTTTGTTTTTATTTTTTTGACTTTCAATTTGAAGTTGACATTGAAATATCAATTTAAGAAGATATTGCTTATCATATTTTTAAGAAAAATTTTAATTATAAATTAAAATTTATTTTTTTAGATAAATTTTGATTTTTACAACATATTTTAGTTTTCAAAATAAACAAAAATAATTTGTGATGAAATAAACAAAAAAAATATTTGAATCTGATAATTAATTCATTTATAAGTAATTCCTTTTTAATTTTTTAAACTAAAACTTTCTTTCCTATTTAAATTTATTCGAATTTTTAATTTATTAAATATGATTTCTTATATTATATAATTTAACATTTAAAAAAAATTTAAAAAATTCAATATTGAAAATAATTTTTTATATTTATGTATAAATTATTAATAAAAAATTTGAGATTATTTTATGAATTTCAATCATTTCATTTTTTAATTTCATAATTTTTAAATTATTAAGGCTATTCCTATTAATTTTGGATTTTTAATTATTTCTTATTGATGTTAAATTTTGCAATAAATTTTCAAAGTTTAAATTTTAGGGTTTAGAAATTTTATTGATTTTAAAATTTTACTTTTATTTAAATATATTATTTTAAATTCAATTTCAATTTTATTTATTTGTTGATAAAAACTAAATTTTTTCTTAAAGGCCAAGTCATATGTCCATCATTTCCTTGGATTTTTACTTAGTGTTATTCCATGGTGGCTTGTGTTAGTTAGGCCATCAAGATAGGTTGGATCTAGGCGATACACCCGAGTTGTCAATAGGTTGTGAGAATCAAATGATTATACACATTACAAATTCTCCTCATCATCGACATGCCCTTCACAATGGATCCGTAACGTTTGGCTAAAGTGCAATACTCGGCCTACAAGGCTCTGCTTTGGTTCGTGACATGATCAGACTCTCTCGGCTCTTTAAGGCCCCCTTGTGCAAGTAGACTCGCCGCGCTAAGTACTACAGTAGAAAGACAAAAACTCTAACCTTCCTTGTGCATCTTCCATCCAAGTTAACTTCACCAGTAAACCAAATAACTTGGAATCTGGAGTTGAGCTCCTTCATCTCTCTCGAAAGGTGATCGAGGTAGAGAGTGAGGTTGAACATCTTGTGAGTAATCATGATTCTGTCAGCCAATCTCTTTAATCTTAAGAAGCAATAAACTTCTACGATCTAAAAATATGTAAAATATGTAAAAACGATGGCCACAATGTTCATGAGTCTCTATCTAATCCACAAAGTCCGAAGATATCTCGTGCAGTTGCACCTGCACTTGCATACTTCTTTGGCTCCCTCAAACCACAAACTTGATGAAAGTTACATTGCAAAGCCGTGATTTAATTTACAAAAGTAAGTCAAGCATGGATATCATAGTCAATATATTGTTGTGTAAGCTATTGTATTCAACATGTTTTTGTGTTTTAGAACAATCGCTTTAGATGATCACTTCGGAATATGCTATTGCCATGGTAGTTTTGATATGGACAAAATTTTGCTCGTTATTATAATATTGAGTTGGTTTTTTAATCGTTTGTGTTTCTTCAAACTCTTCAAGGGAAATCCATTACTTTCTATTTCTTACATGTTCCAAGTTATGTCTTGGTTGAAGTTAAGAGGGGTTATATTTATGATAGGATTGCATTCAACCAGTATTATAGTAAATATTAACATAATTCTTACTTGCATTTGATTTACAGCTGTTAAAGAGAACCTACCTCAATAAAACAGTATGAAAAACCTTTTGATAGAAGGAAACCTGAGATGTTCAATTATATGTTCGGTGAAAAGCTATTAGTAACATATTTTTCAAACGTTGAATGTTGGGATTATAACTAGATTTTATGCAAAACGTGATTTCACACTATAGAATCAACTTTCATTCAACATATATTTTTTCTTAGAATTTTTAGGTTTGTATCACTTGATTTTCGATAAATTGCATCATTATTTGCTTGAGCGAGAATTGTTTGAAATGTTGAGAGATGAACTGGTATTGAAAATCAATTGACATCATATGTTGTCTGCAAGCTAAAAAATTATGTTATGAAGATTATGAAGATTACATAAATTACTATGAAGATTACATAAATTAAATAAAATATTGGTAACAGTCCGAATAAAAAATGCTTTGGCTGCTAATGCGTAGATATCACAAATTTAATGAATCTAATAGTCTAAATTGAGAAGTGATCTACAATTGAGTTGATTGGTTGTACATTGAAATTTATTGTTTGATTAAAATAAAAGAAATTCCCTTTGAATAATCTCAACTATACTCCAGAAAAGTATACAAAACATTCATATTTTTAATTTATCTGATTTACAACCTAGTTTTTCAGATTTGTAAAAGATAGTTAAAATCAAATCTGCAACCATCAACATATATACTTTGTCCGATGCTGCAATCAGTTGGAGGGTAAGCAGCAAAATGTTCGATCGACGGTTGAATTAAAGTAGTTGTTGCGTCTCAATTAATAAAGTAGGCTTTCCGCGTTCAATATCTCTAACAATTTCTGAAATATCTGAACAAAGTTTTGCACGTAGTATATTGATTTGTACATATACATAGTGGACAATGGCAGAAGAGAAATTTGCGTATGATACCCCAGAATTGAAGACATTTTCATCTATATCGGAACATTTGAGATTTGTAATATTGCGAGAACTCTGAAATAGCATTGAAGTATTTGCCTCCTGGTCAGAGGAATTCATACATCTTCATTGAAGCTCTACATCAAGAAAGTCATTAGCCAAAATTTGAGAGATATTTCAAAAACCCTTTGAAACGATAAAGGATCGTTATTTTATTTGCAGGTTTTTAAATTTTTTTCAAAAGTATTTGATAGATAAGTTACAATTCCTTTTCTGCTGATGGAGTAAGTTCCAGAAGGAGAATCAAAACAAAGCTACATCCAAAACAGATTAATTCTTTACATACAGCATGCAATTTAGTCCTGATTATCAAACAACTGGAAACCAGCCAAGTTGGCTTCTAGCCCACAATCAATATTTTCTTTGAATGAATGATTGCTAAGAGGAGTACGTTTTCCTAAAGAACTAGATTCTAGCACTTCTTAATATCCAGAATATCTCATCTGCAGTCACTTATGTGTGCACTTATACAGTCTTTTCCAAAATGGTCATGACGTCAATATCCGCAGTTTAGGTTACCTAGAATCTCTAACTTCAAACAACAAAGAAGTGGCAGTGATTTGTCATCTGTTAGATAGCAGTGACACTTTTAAATCCCATGCTACTCAGATCGTCACATAACCACAGGAGTCATGTCTAATCAAGGTCGTTTGGCTCTCAACATTTGAAAATAACATCTTGAGCATCTACTCTGAACAAAAAATAAACACGAACGTTCCTCCAATCCTTCCAAATCGATTAAAGTCCGAAGAATTAGCAAACTAGAAATGCATGTCCTCGTGCGGCTTTAGCAGTACGGAGGAGAACCAGACCGTGTTCTCCTTCAAGCTACTCCTGGTCCATTCTATCGCCGACCCGAGGTTGAGAGGCGGACAGAGTCTGGTAAGAAGAATGATAAGAGTTTGTCCTTATGAAACAATCAGTTGTCGAATAGTGAGTGTGGCAGGCGCTCCAAATCCAGTGTGCTTGCGGAACACGTCAGCAAATATCTCACGCTATACATCTTGTACCGTCCACAAAGTATTGTACATTGCCCGTGCATGAGCAATGGATGAATCTTTTAGAATGAAGACACGGTATGAATCAAGTGTTGCTGATTCATCCCAAGTACACAACAACAGAAGGCAAAAATGTGGAAGAGAAGATTGGATGGATGAACGACACTTCAACACATGTAGTTTACCAAACCTTCCGCCCATCCCTCTTTGTTAGCAAAACAAAAATTCCAAACGTTTTTCTCACTAGTAGACCACATCTCACAACAGTAATTACCTGTATTTTCTAGAGAGCAATTTTGGAGCAAAAGTGTTCACTATGGAATAGACCAGTTGTGTCACTCATATATCCCAATTCGTACTATGTCCGCTTTGTAAACAGCTTTCGTCTCAGATGATGATCAATATTCTCATTTTCTTCGCTTCTATGTAACATAACGTAACACCACTCCACAGAACAGAAGAAACACCGCCGGATCCGATTCAAAGTTAGTCAAACATTTCGAATGGAGTTTCGGTACTTCAGCGAAAGCAAGAACAGATGCAATCAACAGATGCAACCTCATGAAGGAATCCATGTTAGCATGCGACGATCAAGCTGCTGCAGTGAATCCAGTGGCTTCAGATCTATGTGCATGCGCTTCTGTCATCGTCTGATAAATACGCATACCGAATAACACAGCGAAAAAAACCTTATTTTAATACGCACTACGGTGGAAATCAATTCACACTCAGATTCGACTGAAACATCCAAAACAAAGCTACCTTAGACTTTTCTCGGACAGCGAGGTTAGGTTGGTGAATGTACAGTTACTTCCGGTGTTCAGCTATTGCAAATTACAAGTTGTATTCACATCCATGAAGCCTCGGGTTGACATTTTCTTCATGGGTTTACAACTGTTGAGAAGCAGTAAAAATGAGGCATCATTTGGATCATCTTAAGAGCAAATTTCATGCTAAGCTCACGACGCAAAGGAAAATTCAATAGGATGAAAAACGACTGCAAGTCCTATATACGTAGGCCTACAGTCCTGATTTGATGATTATTTTGCTTGATCTGCACTCCAATGTCGATATCACTCTCGTGACCACAGAACCTGTAGAGGACGCGCCGACATTCGTGGTCTGCATGAGCCTGAACTGGAGGGAAGGTAGCTCAGCAAGTATAAAAAGAAAACGATGCCACCGGATTTTCCAGCAGCACAACGTATTGCTCTGGAACCTCCTCCTTTTCCCGCCATCTCATTCCATTCCATTTCTCTCTCCTTGTGCTAGCTAGCCTGCGTTTCTTTGTTCTATCAATCGTCTCAAGATGTCTGGCTGCGGAAACTCTGGTTGCTCATGTGGCGCTGCCTGCAAGTGCGGCAGCGGCAACAGGTCAGTCAACAGCTTCTCCTGCTTCAAGTGTAGCCAGAATGCAGAGGGGTGAATCTACTCGACGGTGACGATGACGTATCTGTTTTCATGCAATTGCTGCACTCATTTTCACCAACTGCTTTTGTGACATCGATGAAGAGAAGACTTTTGAGAGTCATTTCACCGTCTAGTGTCGAGTATCAGTACCTTGTACTCCACAGACTTCTCTTTAGTCTTGTGATTCAAGCTCGCTAGAAACGGCTATTGACATTCTAGACTGCAGTTGAGCTCGTCTAGAATAAGTCTGCTGTGTAGTAGGATCTGAAGTATTCGATCTAGCGAGTCCACTCTAATCTGCCGATCCGTTTTGTCAATGAAGTTGCTGCGCTAAGAGGTCCATGGATGACTTCGAGAGTTCCGAGATGAGAGGGTACAATTCTAATCTTTTAAAATCCACCATGTTCCAATAGAGAAGGCCAATCTTACCTCCAGACTTGAGCTTCTTAGATTGTCAGTAATATTCCAAACTAGAAACTGACTCGGCCGCTTTATAATTTGCTGTTTCCTTGTTTCTATTGCCTCTTTTCTGATAAAGCTTCTGATGATATTTCAGCTTTGAGGAAGCCAACGAAGGATGCAAGTGCGGTGATAAATGCTCATGCAATCCTTGCAACTGCAAGTGAGAATACAGACCATGTACAAACTGCAGACCTCGACCGTGCGTAAGAAGGATAGAAATGTGACCTGATTTCTCAGTTTGCTGTAGTGTCATGGTCTACTGCTATGCATAGGACGCAAAGCGGGCCTGGCGTTGTTCAGGTGAATATAGTATATGCTTTTTTGCGTAGAAGCTCAAAAAGATTAATAAATACAGAAAATTAAGAAGAAGTCCAAAATCACTCTCCATGTCTCACAGTTGGCCTGAACATGAGCATGATAGAGTTTCTCCTGGAAACTCTTGAGCTCAGAATGGAATGGAAGGTAAATTTGCAAGCATCCAGTCAAGTATACGCGTTGATTCTAACCCCAAGCCACTCATACTTGCATTACATGAATTCAAGGCCACCGCATTTCCGTAAGGACATGCGAGGTCCTGTCAAGGACACAGGAACGGAAGGCCAGATGTGTGAATACAAGAGAAACAATTGCTTCAGAATGGAGTCTGAAGCTCGGAATTTGCGAAGGAGTGGATTGGAGTGTACTTTTACATATTTTCATTGTTTTAGAACAATCGCTTTAGATGGTCACTTCGGAATATGCTATTGCCATGGTAGTTTTGATATGGACAAAATTTAGCTCATTATTGCATTAATGAGTTGTTATTTTGATCCGTTTTGTTTTTCTTTGTATTCTTGAAGGTAAATCCCTTCCTTTCTATTACTTACATGTACCCAAGTTATGTCACGTTTTATATTTAGAGGGGGATATATTTATGATAGGATTGCATTCATCCAGAATTAAAACAAAAAGATAACATAATCCTAACCTGCATTTGCTTTACGGTTGTTAAGAGTACCTACCTCAATAAAAGTTATGAAAAATCTTTGGTGGATAATAACTAAGATGTTCAATCTATGTACGGTGAAAATTTATTAATAACAGATTTTCAACCATTAAATGTTGAGATTATATCTAGATATCATGTAAAAATACTTGATTTTACACTATATATTCAACTTTGACTGAAACACAAATACTTTTCTTAGAAATCCTAAGTTTGTATCACTTAACTCTTAAATTAATTGCATCATTTTTTCCTTGAGCGAGAACTTGTCTGAAATTCTGATATGTGATGTGATTAAGAACAAATTTGCAAGGTAAAAAATTATATTCTCATTTTACTATTAATAATATACAAAAAAATCAAATTTTTGTAACTTATGTGAGTTAAATTGAACCATTTAGCGGCTATTGCGTAGAGGTCACATATTTAATGAGGTGAATACTTTAAATTGAGAAAAGATTGTATTGATTGATTGTAGATTGAGTTTAGTTGTTTGATTTCAATGTAAAAAAATGCCTTTTGTACTAAACTCCAGAAAAGTAAAAAAAATATCCATAATTATAAATTATCTGATTTACAACTTGCTTTTGTAGATTTGTAAAAGATAGTTGTAATTTTACTTGGATTGAATAAAATTTAATCTTTCTAGATATAAATATTAATCATGGTGAATACAATCGTTTTGATTAATTAGATAATATTTTTCATTTCAAATAATTCATAAATAAAATGAGGATTGAGTACTTTTTAAATCATCCAAAGTTGATTCCAGTGTAAAAAAAAGTGTGTATTTTATTTATTTTTTTAAATTGAGCTCATCAAGCCGGAGTGTGGTAAAGGGTCTCCATTTCCACCAAGGTAATCATGCTGCTACGATATCACTTTCAACAGGTTCATATATGGGTCCATAATGAAGATATGGACCCATTCTCTTACAACTCGGCGTCCGATACGATGATCCAAGAGAGGAATTTCCAAAGATATATGATTTATATTAATCTTTCCCATTTCCGATAACAATATGAGTTTCTCTCTTCGAAAGGTTCCGCATTCGTGACGAATGGCTTTAGCATCGGACAGGGTTCACGTATAGCTACGAGGAAGTCATCTCCGTATCGACTGTACTCCATTGTTCGATACAATAGGTCAAGGGGATCACTGTGGAGGCGCGCTTTCCGCATCTTTCCTTCCTTCCGAAACAGCATTGCCATCAGTCTATTTACTAGGGTTGGAAGCATAACCTTAAAGTGCATGCCACCGGGCGAGGTCACGGGGCATGGCTGTATGGACGAAGAAATTGAAACATATTACAACAGTATTATTTCAAGATTCACGCATCAGTAAAACTGTATCATACATTGAAACAAATGGAGAGAAACCAAAATAATCACGGGTGAATTATTTTCTCTATCTAAGTTATACCTCTACATAACCTCGTGATTACTCTGTATAAAAATTGCATTTGAACTTTCTCGAAGTGACAAAAGCCTGAGAAGTGCATCTTTTCTACAGTTCTATCTTAAAAAATAAATTCTTACCATAGAAGTATGTTTTATGATATGTTAAATGTACATATTTGTATTACGGAGATGCCGGGGACATGGGACACCTTGAAAGTCACGATGCGCATGCCTCGAACGATTTTTTTATGTTTCCAACCCTGCTCTTTGCCTACTAGATTGCATTGATGAATGCGCTTATAAATCGCCGTAAGAATCGTTTGTATCGACTAATATAAGAATTATGGTTTTAAATTTTTTCAATAAATTAATAAAATTAATGTATATATAAAATGAGTATAAATATTTTTTTTCAAGAATTGATTTTTGAAAAATATTACTCAATTGGTATCCTAAAGAAAGATCAAAATCATATCTTTTAAACAAACATGACAAAATTAGAAAAAAATGCACTGTGAAAAAAATGCATAAAATTTTATATAAAGAATATAATAAAATATTAGGTATAAAATATTTTTTTCAAAAAAAATTAAAACTATGTGTAATTTATTTTAAGAGAAAAAAAATATTATTAAATATTAGATATTGCAATGATGACATGAATAACTTATTAAAATAAATCATAAATAATTGATTTCATGTGATTTCACTCTGGTTTAAAATCTAACATAAAAACATGCATCAAAAAATTTTGACATAAAATTTATATTTTTCAATTTATTTAAATTATTGGAAAAATATCAATATCAAATTTGTTTGAGATAAGAGGTAATGTGATCATTTGTAGAAAATTAAGTATTTCAAAGATATCAAAATAATAATTTGACTTGAAAATATTAAATTAATTTAATCAGTTTCTATTATTATCAATAATTAAATCATGTACGATTTTTTCCTAATTATGGAATATAATTCATGACTGATTTTTTAAGCAAATCTTTGATGTGCAAAAGAATATCATAATTAGAGAGTAAAATTTTCACGAGAATATATATCAAACATAAATCATAACATAATACATCGTATTGATTAATTTTCAATGCATTGAACATATATATTGTACAAACTTGACATAGAAAATTTTGATGTATTTACAGCAATAAAAATTATGAAAAACAGATTTTTATGAAAAAAATTGAATTTCTGATTTAAAATTTTTGTAAAAAATTAATAATAATAGTATTAGTTAATATAACAAATTTGCTGATGGCATTGATTTAGTATCAAAAACATTAATATCAATTTAGATAAATCATAAATGGAATAAATTACGGAAACAGAAATTGATTTTCATGTTTATATGATTGTGCAAATTTTTTATGTTAATTAAATGTTTGATTTTTCATTTTTTGTAAGATACAATAAAACACAACATTTAAGATCATAGCTCATAAATTTCTATATGCTTTTTTTTTATAAATAAATATTTTAATAATTAAAGATCTGTACCAAAATTTAATTTTGCATTTAAGATAAATTTTTGATGCGAACTCAGTCTAATTTTTATTGAAATATTCATAAAAAATTGTGAAATTTTTTTTTATGTAATTTTAAGAACTTGAATGAAATATTCAAGATGGTTCAAATAATTTATGATGTACAATCTAAATTGCGATAATAATTATTTCAATGATTTCAATGTTAGAAAAATTGTAGAATAATATATATATATATTAAAAGTCCAATAATTAATTTATTCAGTATTTAAATGATTAATTGATTTTAAGAGATTAAAGCAAAGATTAATATGATTATTTTCAAGTTGCATGCAATTTTTGAAATTAAAATTTTTTTGTAGTTCAATCTTCTCAATTAGAGATTGGAGATTTATGATTTCCAACGTTGAATACTTTTACCACGATACGATTTGCAGTTATTCTATTTTTATGTGCATATTGCTATCAAAAATATATAGAATTTACTTTGAAATGTTGTATAATATTTAACATATATTTCTATTTTTAAAGTAAATAATTTTTTAAAAAAAAAACTAATTTATGAAGACTAAGGACGAATTTATTCCTTAGTCTTCATTACATATTTTTATAGAAATCGTATATGAGTTCTCACATATAAGATTATATCCAACATGTGAGTATGATATGAAAATATCAAATGATACAAATTTGAAAATTTTGCAACTTTTTGGCTTTGATATTTCAAAATTGCAGTTGTGATTAATTTTGTGCAGCATTTGAACTTCACCTAAGACCAAAGAAAAAGTCTATTGTTAAGATGACAGATTTCAAGATATTATTATGACTTTTTTAATCAGACTTCTTTACTCGTTTTATTTTTCAGAATATTCAACTCATGTTTTATTGAGAGAATGAATTAATATGACCTAGCAATATGATCAAAATATCGATAAATTTCAACTCGCTCTTCACATGATTTACCTCAGCAGTATTTTGAATCAGTCTCCAATACTACAAGCATAATATTCATTGCTATCGATTGACATAGGTCACATGATGTAGAAGGAATTATGTTTTTCAATTGAGTTGGAGCAAAAACAACTCAATAATTGAAACGGGAGATATCAATAGGAAATAGGAGCTTTAAATAGTGCGTGCAATAATGAATATCTTATAATACATATAGTGTGTATCTTATAATACATATTTTTATTGTCAAATGAGAGAGTGAAAGAATTGAGCTATTCGTTCAACTCTTAATACAGCTGTAATGTATTATATAGTGTATTTTCAAGAAGATAAAATCTTGTTATTTAATTTGACTAAAGTATAACCAAATTAGCACCTCTTTTTCGAGGGCAAGATATCTTTGTGAGGTAACCTTGCAAGCAAACGAACGAGTGCAGGCGAGGAGATTCAAGTTCTACATATGATATTTGCAAAAAGAGAGTATAGATGTTAGGGTCTGAACCTGAAAACCCCACAAGAAAAATCAAATCAGGCTTG